CTTATGCGTTATGCTTTATGCAAAAGTCTGTGCTCCGGCCATAACTGTGTTCTATTTGCAGCGCATGCGTACGAAGTACAGCTACCTGACAACACTGTTTCGCACTAGCAACGATAACGATTGATTTTTTGTTTTCATGCATGTGAAGATATGTCAAAGATGACGACAGTAGTAGCAGCGTCTCTAATTTGATGTTTGTAATAGCTGGAGGAAAAAATTTTGTGCGATCAAGTACGAAGCAGGTTGTACACAGCTATTATCATTCAATACATATTATTAATAGACAAGTGATGATCACGTAAAAATTGTTTGAAAACTGCGACATGGCATCTGGCAGGTGAGCCACATTTTGCTGTACCAGCGAAGGACTCGTAACTTACGGTCATGAAATGATTGCAATACATGTTTTCTAAGTAATCTTAAAAGCATTTTTGATTATTTGTCTATAAATGTGTCCTTGAGTACAATCTAACGAGTATAACCACGAATTTTTGATGAGATTATTCAACCTGTGATTCTAAGGAATTTTGAGTACTACTTGTAGTCTTTAAACTTACATGCTTGTTTATTTGCTATGCTAATTATAAAAGCAAGAAAATTTATCTTGCTTCTATATATGAATGATTAAACCAGTGAGTACATTTGAAAGAATCTGTTAGCAGTGCAGGGCGCGGCATTTGTATGCTTATCACCATTTTTGGTATGCCTTTCTCATTGCTTTTATTTCAGATAGTCTAAAATTCATAAATCATCTTTGATTATTTAAACATTCACAATTGTTCTTTGTTTATTCTTGTTGCTAATTAAGAATAGAGATCTTTATATTTTTGCAAGATAACTTTGTAATATTTTTGAATATGAGAATATGATAAATAACTTACACTGAAATAATATTAAATATTTGCAGTTAATTGAGCGATGAATTATAAATCAGATAATGTTTAATACAAATAATATATTAATATTATTCCAGATTTTTTCATCCCAATATTACTGGACTACAAGCAGAAAGTCTATTGATGGAATATGGAATTGATGGATCGTTTTTAGCTAGACACTCTACATCAAATCCTGCTGACTTTACACTCTCTGTCAGGTAAACATAATAAACTTGTGTCTATATTTAATAGACACATAAATTAATGATAAACTATATGGATATATCAACATGTAACATTGGATATTTTTATCTTATTTTTAGACGGAACGGTAAGATTACTCATATCAAGATACAAAATACAGGAGATTTTCTTGATTTGTATGGTGGTGAAAAATTTGCCACTTTATCAGAATTAATACAATATTACATGGAAAATGAGGGACAATTAAGAGAGAAAAATGGTGAAATTATTGAACTTAAATATCCTCTCAACTGTGCTGATCCTACAACTGAAAGGTATATAACATTTCTGTAATGTTTTTCTTATGTAATATTTACTAATATTTTACATTTTCCATGCTTCTATGATGCATCTTATATGATTAATACTATTATATCTTAATACTATTTTAAATATATGCATTTAACATGTACATATATGACAAAATATGATAAAAAAATTAAAGGTGGTTTCACGGACATTTGTCAGCAAAAGAAGCGGAAGAATTGATGCTGGAACGTGGAAAAAATGGATCTTTTTTGGTTCGCCAATCGCAATCCAGCCCTGGTGATTATGCTTTATGCGTACGCTGTGACGATCGCGTTACGCATGTTATAATACGATCTCAGGTTAATGATATGAGCAACATAGCCGACATAGTTAAGATTGCATGTGTCACGCATAACAGCACACCTACACACGCGTGCACTACCACACGCACACGCATGCACTCACTCACTCACTCACTCACTCACTCACTCACTCACTCACTCACTCACTCACTCACTCACTCACTCACTCACTCACTCACTCACTCACTCACTCACTCACTCACATGAATTCATAGATGCGCATACAGAATGGAGAAAAAATCTAAATATTTTGGAAATAAATTTTTGAAAAAAGTTTTAGACAACAGTTATAGGATGTTATGTGTCTGATTTAGCAATTGTATCATTTTAAATTTGGCAATTTAAAACTTGTCTCAAATCTAAAACATGCTTATAAATATTATTATTCCAATACTACAGTACATCGCTGGTTAAAACTCCAATAACATTTGTTTTCAACAAAATGGTGCACTTCTTCACTATGGTCTGCATGTATGTAATTATGTAAACCAAGTTTTTCTTGGTAATGGCTGGACTAGACCGGAGGATGATCCTACTTGTGGCTCATCCGAGTGTAAGTATATTGAAGTTGACTTCCAATCATATCAACCATATCAAATAATTTTTTTTAATTGGATAAAAAAAATTATTTGATATAGTTTGGTATTATTTGATATAGTTGATACGATTGGAAGTCAACTTTAATATAATTTTAACCTGTCAAACCATGCACTCGGATGAGTCACAAGAGGATCATCTTCCGGTCTAGACCGGGTATAAGTGAATAGGGAAAAGAGATCTATTGAGTGGTCAGCACGACCTCTGGATTTGTCTTTATTCAATTACTTTTTGTAGAGATATTTAAAGAATTATTTTATTTATCATAAAACTCTAAATCTGGCAGATTTACCAGATTCATCAAATAGTTTATAAGGTAGAACAAATATCTAAAGCGTATTGTAGGAATGTAGACTCGAATTTTTAATATTGACTGGCACGTTGTCGAACAGTCAAAAGACTGTATTTTGAACAACTGATCTAAACATACACATACACTTATACAGTCTGTCTGATAAAGTTGTACGCGGCACGACTTTGTTACGCGCTAACGCTCGCAATACCTGTACTTTGACAGCTTAAATATGACGTAATTTACTATCAAAAAGCAATCACTACGGTTTTAAAATTGTCTTGATAATGTTTTTAAGATTCTGTAACAAACAACAGTTTAAAACATTTAACCTTGACCTAACTTTCAGAGTAATTGCAAAGGGCAAAATGACAACTACTAAACAGAACACGACATTCTATAACTGTTTCTAAAACATTCTTTCTAAAATTCATAGTTTTCGAAATATTAAGGGGTTTTGTTTTTTTCCCTATCCTATACATGTCGTTGATTTAGTCAAGAAATTAATTACATTCAATTATTTTTGAAAAAACGATATTTCAAGCGATATTTTATACAATATGAAAATATCTTTTTATGTTAATAAATAAGTTTTATATTAATTATATAGTGATAATTCGCTGCTACGCGTAAAAGTAGTAAATAAAAAATAATAGGTTCCAGAAAAAAAATCTGGCCCTAAATTATGGATAGTTCGGTTCAACTTCCTACTGAAAACGTTGATTATTGACATAATAATATTGAACAAAAGAACCTTTAAGTTGGATGAAAAAACTGTGCAAAAGTGACTTTTGATTGACTTGTCTCTCTTTTCACTGAAAGAGTGAAAACTAGTGCATTTGTAATATCTTCAGTAACTGATTTGACTTATCTCCCTTTACATATACATACAAAGATGAAGGTTTTTAGGTTCTAAATATAATTTAATCCTGTTTTCACAAAATTATGACTTATTACTTTTTTCATCCTCATCAGCAAATTGTAAGTTATATTATTTAAAATGTTATTAATTTCACACATACACCAAAGAGATGACGTATATGTATATATGCATAATACAGATATGCTTATGTACACACATTTCACGAGCGTGCAAACTACGTATTACACACACACGCGCACACACACACACACACACACACGCGCGCGCGCACACGCGCACACACACACACCGCGCGCGCGTGAGTGTGTGCAAAGGAGAAAAGTTACAAAGTTACAGCTATCTGAAATTTATCTTCTTTCCACTAAAAGAACAAGTAATTCCTTAGTTTTTTTGAATAGTATACTTTATTTAATTTTATTATGATCCAAAGAAAATATACAAATCTAATTAATATTACAGGATAACAAATATGATGTAGGTGGTGGTCACAGGTTTCACAGCCTTAGTGATCTAATAGAACATTATAAAAAAAATCCAATGGTTGACACAAGCGGAATCGTTGTTCATCTTCGGTAAGAATTTCTCAATATTATCTTATATTGTCGGAAAATTTATTTTTTTATTATATTTTTTTTACTTTGTTTTTTATTGCTTTTCAAGTTTTAAGATGTAGAGCATATTTATTTTATAAATATTATCGATTGTTTACAGCCAACCATTCAATGCAACGCGTATTAACGTTAGTGATATTAAAAGCAGAGTCAGACAATTACATAAAGAAAATGGCTCTTCTGGTGGTTGGCTGTATGGAAATGGAACTACTGGAAATAATGAAGTTGGACCAAGTCGTGGCAAAGGAAAAGCAGGTTTCTGGGAAGAATTCGAGTCGTTGCAGCAATTAGAGTCTCGACATTTATATTCAAGGAAAGAAGGTTTACGTCCAGAGAATCGTTCGAAAAACCGTTACAAGAATATTGTACCGTTTGATCATACTAGAGTACTATTAACAGATGTCGATCCAAAAATCCTTGGATCTGATTATATTAATGCTAACTACATAAAGGTAATATTTCTTTGATATTTTTAAGGTGTTCTAGAAATGCTGAATATTTTTGTTTTTTCTTAGTGAAAAGAATGAATAAATTTAATTTATTTCTTAGCAAGAAAAATTTGAGTTTTATCGTATAAATTGTGTATAGTTTAAACAAATTTTTTACGTATCTCTTGACTGTTGTATTTATATATTGCATTTTTTTATAAACTTATATGGTGGGCCAATATGTATATAAATTGTATATTGAGGATAGTCTAATTTAGAACCGAAACGTCTGTAATTTGAATGTAAATCATTGTGACATAATTGGAACATGTAAAATCATTATGTACAACTAGCTGTTATTCTATTGCTCTTTTGTAACACTTTTGCAACACAATTTTAAGATATTTTGGAAGCGTATATTAATAATACTATTGTCATAAGTTTATCAGTCATATGATAAAATTGTTTTGCAGAATGAGGAAGGGGATGGAACAGGCACCACCATTAGTACTGGTAACGACACCACATTTGGTAAATGTTACATAGCCACGCAAGGTTGTCTTCCAAACACTGTACAAGATTTTTGGCATATGGTATATCAAGAAAATACTCGTGTCATTGTGATGACATCGAAAGAAATAGAAAGGGGAAAGGTATGTGAACATTAAAGACTATGACAGACGAAAGACTGAATTCTTTTCTTTTTTTTTTTAGAATAAATGCGCGCGTTACTGGCCGGAGGAAGAAGAAATTACCGAATATGGTAATGAGTGGAAAGTACGCGCCGTATCGCAAAATTCTACTGCTGATTATACTTTGCGAGAATTTCTTCTGCAAGGAACAAAATCAAAATTTTCCGAGTCCAGGAAAATTTATCATTATCACTTCCAAGTAACGTATCTAACACAAGCATACGTAACATGACATACGCACATACATACATGTGCGTGCGATACAATACAATATATATACAATAGAAGGTTTTAGAATCTTTTGAATACATGTATAAAGATATAAAAACCCTTTTGGAATCTTGAATATTCTTTTAATAAATAGTATTCCATTTTTTATTTATACAGTAGCGGTCAATGAAATGTACTCACCGAAATTATTGTTTTTAAACTCTGAAGCAAAATACTGTACTAAATCGTAAAATTTATATTAAAGAGCATTATTAACGACTCATAATTTTGATTAGAACATTTTAGTTGAATTGCTTCAATATATTTTTACATATTTATAAAAATAGGACAATATACAATAAAAACAATACTTGCTTAATAAATTTGTATTTTATACGTATAACAATAACAATTATAGGAACAAATAATTATAACAATTATTAATATTTTTTAATAATTAATATTTTGTGATATTTGTGATTTTTCACTTTCGGTCATTTTTCGGTGATTTACCATTTTTATAAATACTGCACGACATTTTTTGAAAATAAGTGTGAACTTCAACTAATTCCTAGCTCGTGTTAATTATCTATATATACCCAAATAAACCTAATTTAATTCTTCCTACCCTTACAATACTTATCAAAGACAGGTTATTTCGAAGAATCTTGCTGAGTACATTTCATTGTCAGCTACTGTATATATTTATTAGAAGCTTTATAAAATACATTTTAGCAATAATTATTGGTTAAATATATTGATACATACTCTATTTAATGAAATGTACATAATATTATGGAACTAAATTTTATATTTAATTAGGCATGGCCTGATCATGGTGTTCCATCAGATCCTGGTTGCGTGCTAAATTTTCTACATGATGTAAACGCCAGGCAAGAATCGATTGCAGCATCTTTGGCTTCGAGCAACCAATGTATAGGACCAATTCTCGTCCATTGTAGTGCCGGAATTGGCAGAACTGGCACATTTATTGTCATTGACATGATTTTAGATCAAATTAAACGTCATGGTAACATGCTTTATTAAAATCACAAAATGTTATTTTATTTCTTTATAATTTATTATAAAATAGTATTTTTTTTATATAATCTATGCTTATTGTAATATATATTAATAATATACTATTTGAGTCTTTTTATGTTTAGGACTAGACTGTGAAATTGACATTCAACGCACAATACAACAAGTACGCTCGCAAAGGTCAGGAATGGTCCAAACAGAAGCGCAATATAAATTCGTCTACCTCGCAGTTTTGCACTATATTGAGACTGTGTCTCAGAGGATGCAAGCGGAACAGGTGTTAAATTTAATATCGTATGGTGATACTATAAATAATTAATCGCTTCTTTATGGTCTTGTTTGATTAATCAACTAGTTTTTTTTACAGAAATCACTTCAATTAGGTAGAGAATATACAAATATTCGCTATAAAAGCGAGACCAACGCTACTGTAGGAGATACTTCTACTTCTACGCGTACGTCCACGACTCTTCCACGAGAAGAACCCATATTTGAAGAAGTTTATATTCCAATGCGAAATTTTCGTTAAATTCAATTGGTTTCGCATATATTTAAGAAAGTAAAAAGAAACTCTTTTTCTCTCTTTTTTTTTTTGGAAAAAGAAAGATATAACCCTTTAAAAAGAAGGAATAAAATTGAATTGTAATAAATTGTAATAAATTTTAAAATGTAGTAAATGTGTAAATGTGAATAAAGTAAATGTAAAAAATCTGTAAGAAACAATTTCTTTATAGAAATTTAATGTGAAGAAATAAAATCACTTTACAAAGATTGAGCTATGTATATTTTTTTAAATATATATCGTTAAAAATAAGTAATAGAAGAAGCTTTTTGTGGATAATAACAGTATTGTGTTGAAAGGTTTATCGAAATCTATATAAGAAACTTTCAATTCGCAAAAAGATATAAAAATTTTCCATTTTGTCGAATCTTTTTCTTTTGTTAATTAGTTTGTCAAAAAAAGATAAGTATAATCAGCATAAAACATTCGGAAATAGGGATTCAGAACTTTAAAATACTTTTCTTTATACTTGATACGATTATTTGTAAGAAAGTTTCAACTACCTGAATTTTGTCTTTTTTTACGAAAAACAAGTAATTTCTTTATTTTTTTGAGAAGTGTAGATATGTTAAAATATTCTATTGCATATACACAATTTTCAATATTTTTTATGTATTTTATTTTATATGAATAATATACAGAATGCATACAGAAAATGTTATTCAGATTTTTTAGTGTAAATTATAATAAAGTAGAGATTTTTTCACACGAGAGGGCATTGTCTACTCCTGAATGTTCCAATAAGCGCATGTGCGCATTTCGAGTAGTTCGTACTACTCTTTAGCGACCTGTCCTTCGATCTTGTGTTTTCTGTGATTATTTCTTCGCGTACACTGTTTGTCTTATAGACATCTCGATCTCGATCTCGAAGAATAGACTTATCTTCCATCTCTTTTTAAATAACTCCAAAATAATAAGAGTTTTTATATAAGCCTAAGCGACGATACATTAAATGTGTATATAACGCAAATATAATGTGAGTGGTGATTCAATTTCTATTATTTATTTATTTATCAAAATACATACAAATACAAAAATTATAAATATAAAAAACTATAGTTAATGGTCATGGCAAAGTTTTTGGCAACAATTAAAGCAATAATTACGCGTTTGGTGTTCGCCTCGCATGGATTTATCGCTATCTGGCAAGTAACAACTTTTAAGAAGAATCCGTTTTTCTGGTATCTGAGCTGTCCTATCTTGTTGCTGTTCTTCGAGGGTATTTTTACACTGACTATAAAAGAAAATCAAGAATGGAAATGGTATGTCAGCTATTAATGCAGATATTAGTAAGCCGTTAAAATTAGTCATCGAAAATAAAAAAAAAAATTAGAAAAAAATTAAACTTTTATTTGAGTTTTTAAAATAAAAATAATGATATTTTAACATTTTTATTATTAATATTCTCCAACGGAATATGGAAACAATAATATAATTCTTTATTTAATTTTAAATAAACTTTGTATTAATAATATTTGTATTTACATTTTAGTTATTAGTTTTAGTTATTAAGTTATTTTAATAGTAAGCTACCTGAAGCGTAACGTAAATTGTACAGTGTCATTTATATTTTATATTTTGTTCACACATATATTTCTAACGCATTTAAAAAGCTACAAACATTTTTTTATTTTCTATATTTCTATAATGAATTTTCTTTTATAAATTATAGTAGTGTAAGTATAGTAAGTGTTAGGGACAATCCAAATATTTATAAATATTTGCAATTCCCTTATTATTATATAAATTAAAAAAAAGAAGAAATGTTTCGGACAAAAATAACTTTAATGCATAATTCTACGATTAACACTAAAAATTCGAGAACTGTAATAAATATTAATATTTTTGTGAAAGTTATAATTTATTATTACTATTACTTTTTTTAAAGCTATAATATAATATTTTGAAGAATACATTAAGATACATTTTAACAGGGTTGGGAAGTAACTCGTTACTTGTAACGAAGTTACAGTTACAGTTATTTTTTTCGGTAACTATAACTTAACTTGGTTTTTTTTTCATCTATAACTGTAACTTAACTTACATATTTATGGTAACTAGTAACTAATTTAACAGTTAATTTAATATTCTATATATGTTCTATGGTTGTATTAATTGTAAGAATTAGGGCCTATCCAGACAAACTTGCATAGTCACATAAACATATGCATAAGGAAAGGAATAAAATTGTCATGGAATTTGTCATATTAAGTGTAAATTCGATATTTGTTAAATAGACGGATAAATAGACGGGTAACCGTATAGATATTAATTATAAAATTCAACAGAAATAAACAAATTCTCATTTAAAGAATGCACTGCTACCTAGTAATAAATTATCTTTGAGGATGATTATCATATAAGCATAAAGTTGAGACTTTAAGAAGAACTGAAACATTAGTCTACGATTTTTCGGAAAGTTACGACTGTTTGTGTGAAATTCGTGAATTTTTAAACTGAAAAATCTTAATTCTATAATTTTTATTCTAAGTGTATAATAATTTATTTTAAATTATTAATTAATTTAATATTTTAAATGTATTTTTATTTTAAGTTTAAAACAATTGTGATTTATTACATATAAAATAATATAACATAAAATTAAATACCTATGTAGTATATAATAAGTTAATAAATCTTGAAATATAAGATTCGTATATTAAAAATAGTAGGGCACATTTATTGCAAAAAAGTAACTGAAAAGTAACGACTCGTTACTTTTTGAGTAACTATAACTGTAACGTGTTACTTTTTAGAATCGGTAACTTGTAACTGTAACTAGTTGTTTTTTCAATGAAAAGAACTGTAACTTTAACTAGATACTTTTACAAAATAACTTTCCCAACCCTGCATTTTAATGATATTTAATGATAATTATATATAAAAAATATTATACACATATATAGCAATAATATTGCGTATAGCAATAATATTACATATAGCATTGTCATTAGTATAAAAGGATGTTTCGGAAAGGGCGTGTATGTTGTGTGAGATCGTCTGACAACACGTTTGACAGACGGAAATGAAGCATTAGTACTCGAGCACACTGGTGAGTTAGAATCCATTTTATTCAGGCAAGATGGATAAAAAATTATTGACATCTTTGAAAGCAAATCGCTCGTGACCTTATTTTATATTACCTCACTTATCGATCAAATTGAAGTTAAATGTAGAATATATACTACGTTTTTGAAAAAAATTGGGTATAAATAATAATGTTATTGTTCATCAGTATACGAATATTAGTTTATATAGAAGTATGAGAGAATATATAAATTAAATAATAATTTATGTAAAGCATAAAATTATAAGATCAACAATATGCAATGAAAAATCAAAACTAAAATTGAAAAGTGGAAATAATTAAAATGTAGAAATTTATTATAATTAATTTTAATGTTATAATAACGTAAATTTCTTTTTTGGAACAAAAAAGCAAACTATTTGATATACCCAGGTAGAAATTTCTCTCGATCTTCCTTGAATATATACGGGCCCCGCATGGGAAATATTAGCTTGGAAAATCCAGACGGGTCCTGGCTTTTCGCTATAAATTTTCCACAATTTTTCCCAGTTTTGGTTAAAAAATATCTATCTGTATTTTTTCCTGGATCTGACCGGGTCCGATCAGGGAAAAACCAGTATTTTTATTCTGAACTTTCAGGTTATAGTAACGTTTGTTAAATATTTTACGGCTCAAAATAGTAACACCTTGGAGCATATCAAAGAGTAACGGTTCGAAATAAAAGAAAAAACGGTTTGAAATGTACAAAATGTGTGATTGCATATTCGCGGCTTCTCGTCTACTGTTGAGGAAGCGAAAATATCGGGCGAGGACAAAATTAGAAACAAAAATAGCGAACATCGAAACTGAAAGTGACACGTGTGACGAAAGTGACTTGATAAAAAACAAGTATTCGCGATCTAACAGTAATGAAGCTACTAATAGTGCTGTAAATGAGAATGTCTATCATGTACGCGACGAAAAGGAAACTGATGGCCTGGAAATATTTATGGAAAATAACAATTCAGAGCTCGAAGATGATATGTCAGATCCAGAAAGAGAAATCGAGAATTTAGAGCTCGAAGATGATATATTGGAATCAGAAAGAGAAATCAATGAATACAATGAAGGTCGCAATAATGAGGACGAAATGGCTGATGAAATGGAAAAATTACATCAGTGGATTGTAACCAACCAAATTCCACATAATCAAACAGATGAGTTGCTGAATATTTTACGACCTAGATTAATGCCACTTTTACCCAAATCTACAAAAACGTTTATAGGAACGTCATCCGCAAAATACAATATCGAACAATCCAGGAGAAAATCCGAGTAAAATAAGGGCCCTAGGCGTGATTCCTGTATAATTTCTAAAAAAAACCGTAGAAACAAGCCTGGGCCTGGGTACATTTTAGATAATGGATCCGTTCATGCCCGCCGTCCTCCATTACATATGGGTCCAAGCTAGATTTCCCGGACAGATCCAAGCTATACTCGGGGAAAAATATCCAGGGCCAGGCTTCCTTCTAGACCAGATTTCTACCTGGGTAGATGTTCGAATAATTTAATAATAATTAATTTCTCAGAGATAATAATGTGAAAAGATTAAAATTGGATATTTTATACAAAATTTGGAGATGAGCATTTTGAAAATAAGAATTTGTCAAAAATTTTGTAGATGAAAAAAAGTATCAAGTTCTAGGAAAAGATATACAGTGTTCCAGACTCACAGTATCATCCGTTAATGATTTCTGAGGTCATTTGGAGACGAAAATCCTAATACTAAAATGCCGTGGCTTCAATAGTTTTTAAATAGAAAGAGTTTAAAATTGACCAATTAACTTGTCAAAATTTCGCGCGCTTAGGCAAAACATCGCATATTGATTTTTATATTCTTATTATATGAGAAACGTCATTCATCTATGATACGCTTCACGTGAAAGCTTTGACAGTTCAATGCACATTGCGTTCTAACGTAAAAAATATTTACTAAACAATTTTTAAGCTATTATTATAACAATATTTATCGGAATTAAAGCCCGGAAAGCG